TGCCCCTTTCTGCACTGCCTACAGCTCAGTCCATGAATCATTCCTGTCTTTGCTGGTGGGCAGAGGGAGAGCAGAAATCCAGATTCTGCAGAGAGTCTGTGACCCTTTGAACTATTCTCCCCTTGAGCTCCTCCGCAAATGCCATTGTCCTCAGCAGCTGTTGTGGGCAGATAACGCATGCACATTTTCTGTATTTTGCAACATGGAGGGCTAGGAACTTGATTTGCATTCTCAGGGTGCTTGTTTCAGAAAGGTTTCAAGATCATCCTCCTGTGGATGCCAGGGAAACTGAGTTTTTAAGCCACACACACACACACACACTCTTCCAGATTGAGTCCTTCAATCCGTGCCACTGGCTTGATCAGGATATGAAGGCAGCCGTGATGTGGCGAGTGGGGATGAGCCAGGGACAGGCTGGTTGGGGGAAGGAACAGGTAAGGAGGAGAGAAGGAACTGAAGGACTTGAGCAGTCCAGGTCTGGTGCACTTTACCCCATTAGGTACGACAAAAGTGAAAGGTACAAAATGGTACCTTTTATTCTCCAGAATAAAGTTTGAGCAGAGCAAAATGGGTATCGAGCCAGAACGCATGGCAGAGCCCCCTTTTGTACCTTTGCTGACCAGGTAGTGATGACAACTGCCTCTTGGGTCGAAATGTGTCACCAGCATTGATTGGCACATTTGAATACAGGTGGTTCCTGCACTTACCTGGGAGGCTGGGCTCCCTGGCATTGGGCTGGGAGCTTTGGTGGGAGATTGCTCAGTCCCTGGCTGTGTGACGCTCCGATTTACGTTGGCAGTGCTTGGGGGCGTGACCGCTCTGCCCAGGCCGAACGCTGACCAGCCAGGTTGTCCTCCGGAATGAGGATGATAAGGGGTAGCGGCAGGACTTTAGCTCTAGATTAGAGTTGGTAAAGAGGAGATGGGAAACCTGCAGCTGTTCTTATCCTACAGCTCCCCTCATCCTGGGCCACTGGCCATGGTGGCTGGGGCTGATGGGAGTTAGAGTTCCAACAACATCTGGAGGGTAAACATTTCTCCAGCTGAATCAGGCTTTTCGTATATGCTGCACTCGGGCTCCGGAGAGGAACAGTGATTGGCAGCCCTTGTGCCTTGGAAAGGTCCAAGGATTCCCCCTTCCCTGGCCCAGCATGAAGCGGACTGGCATCTTCATATGCTGCCAAGGGGGTGATCACTTTCCAGGTTCTGCATTCAAACCCCCAACTTAAGGCTTCCCCAGAGCAGCATCTGGCAAATTGCCATGACCATTAGTATTGTTTCAGACTCAGTGGCCCCTCTTGAAACTGGGAAGTACTTTGCACGGCTATTTATCGCCAGGACATGCAAGATAAAAACAGTAAACACCGCTGCAACATCTTTAAAATATTTAAATTGAGAATCAAATACTGACTGTGGCTAATTTAACCCTGTGTGGCATTAAGTGCATGGTTAATGCGCAGGGTGTACAGCTCACCCACAATATCGGGAGGGTTTGCAGCATGGTTGTGGAGCATGCACAGAGTGCTGAGTGATGGATCCACTGTCTCACCAGCATGGTGCTGGATGCTTTTGCTCCTCCTGTGTTTTCTCACCCTGCAGAGAACCAGTGGGCAAGTTGGTGGTGTCACCCAGGGCTCGTCCTCCTCCGTGCCGAGGGGCAGCTGAGTGAGCGGGGTTGCCGTGGGGAAGAGGGGGGCCAAGTCTGGGCAGCTTGTGCCACCGGCCCCTGCAGGCAGGCATGCTCCTGTGAAGTGCCCAGCCTGTCTGCTTTCCAGGCAGGCCCTGGCTGTAGGTGGTGTGTGTGTGTGTGTGAGAGAGAGAGAGAGAGAGAATTTGCTTATGTCCGGCCAGTGGGTAATTGCTCCTCCCGGTGAGTCCTTGGGCTTCAGCCACTTGCATGGTGGTGCCTTGGCATTGTCTCCGGGTCTCTGCAAGGCCGCCAGGGAGAGACAAGGAAGCTCAGTGGCTATTAACCGGCAAGCCTGGAGGACAGACCATTGTTCTGGGGGGAAGTGGAGACCAACTCTGCTCTCTAACTTTGAGTCTGTGCCCCAAAAGCAAAGCCCCTCATCAATCAAAACAGTCCCAAGAAGGTTGCAGGAAGGCAGTGCTTATGGAAGGCAGGGTGGGGGGGGGGTTATTATGGCCCCCCCAGTAAACCAGAGGACTCTGATGAAAACCAGGTCCTGCAGCACCTGTGCTGTCTGGGCACGCCTCTTTCCCTTTCCAGGCATGTATTGAATTTATCTCCCAACATTCTTCTGAGGCGCTTAAGGCAGTAGTTGCCATTTTTGCCTTTCCCCCTTTTCACAATCACCTTGTGAGGCTGGCAAGGCCGAGGGAAGGTAGCTGGCCGAAGCTCAGCCTGAAAGCTTCATTGTTGAGGGGGAATTCGAACCCGAGTCACCCCAGACTTAGCTGGACATTCTCAGGAAAAAGCAACCTCTGGTCCTCCAGATGTTTTAGATTACAAGTGCCACCAGCACAGTGAGTGGCAAGAGATTGCGGAAGCTGTCTCAAAAGATCCAGTTAGGTACTCACTCTAGGCAGGTTATTCAAACCAAGTCCCTCTAACTGGGACTGTTCGGGTTCCCAGCTAAGGCATTTTTAGCCAAGGGGTAGGGGGGGTTCCATTATCCACATGTTTCCCAGAAGACACGAAAACATGTCTTGGTGCCTGGAGTTGCTTAAAACCACAGGAAATGGCATCCGAGAGGATCTCAATAAATATGTTACACATTTAGAGTTGATGTAATTGCTGGCTTAGGGCCAGAGTTAAGAATCAATACATTCTTGGTTCATATCCCTCCCCTGCTGTAGTTTTGCTAGGTGGCCTTGGGTGAAGCAAAATCTCTTCAGTTCACCTCCCTTTAATCCATAATACAGAGATAATCATTATAACCTACCTTACACTACACTGACCTAGAGGGAGTGTAAATATTTGGCCAAGATAATATATACAGCGGGCTTTTGGCACTTGAATGCATTCTATGAATGCTTAATGCTTATTATTTGTGTTATGATTATGTCTATGCATCTTCACTGGATTAAGACTCACAGGCCCAAAAGAAACACTAAGTTCATTCCATTTTCTTCCCCGTTCTTAAGTCTAGAATAGGTCAGGTCCCCCTCACCCCTACCCTGTGGGAAGGGTTCTAACTGGGGGCCTTGCATGGGCTCTAGAATGCAGAAAGATGGGTGGGCAAGACCCCCTTGATGTGGATTTCACATCACATCTGTTTTGGGCAGCATGGAAAGGAGTAGAGGACCACCTTATCCGGCACGAGCCTTACCTGTTTGCCAAGACGGAGCATCAGCATTTGAACTGCATCTGGCAGAGGTGCAGGAGAGGTTCTTCCTGAGTGCCACAGCAGAACTTTGAAACTTTCTCCCCACACTGGAGTAGCACACTGATGCCGCACTGAGAGCAAGCTGCAAAAACAGCATGTTGGAAAGGGTGGGGTCACACACCTAGAATGAAGGAAGCAGTGTGTCTCTGACGGTATCCTTGGCCAAGATGTCTGTCTGTCCTTCTTTCTGTGTCAGACTTGAATTGACTTCCAACTCAACAGTCTGCTCTAGTGTAGGATCCCTTTTGTTGCTGTTAAACAGCCAGCTGAATATATTTTAGTGCAAGGCAGCAAATGGGGCCCTCCAGGCTCTCTCAGTAATGTGCATAGTACCTTCAGCCACAGTTTTATTTTGGTTGAAAAATCAGGTAGGTAGTTATGTGTTGCCCTTTGGCGGAATCCCAAATCCGCCGACTCTACAGAATGGTTAGGCGGCCTTGATTGGGACTTTTATTGATCCGGTCCACATTGCCCCATTGATCTCAAGCCTGCCGTCTGCCCACTCTGCCCCGAACAGGGAGACTTACCTTGCTTTCTTTTTCATACAGCCTTTCGGTGCTACATACAAGATTTCATTTCAGCAGTCGCTTAGTTTGTTGCTTTGCTAAATGTTACTGTCCTCATAGTTTATGCAAACTGTGCTTTCTTGGTGTTTTCTCTTTGTGTGTGAGCCTATGTGAATTCATGCTTTTGTTGTATTTCAGTTATTTGATTGTATTTTATTTTGTAAACCACACTGAGCGTTTGTTAAACAGAAAGCAACACGGAATTACTTGCAATATTGTAGCAATGGCCACACAAACAAGAGGCATGCCCCAAGGGTGAAGTCTATTTACTGATTCTGGAGCTAACGTGAAATTACTTCCACGCCACCCCATCTCACCGTGAGCCAAAGGAGCAAAACATCTGGCCAGGGTAACACATGGGGTGGCCTGGCGTTCCGATCCAGAACTCTGGGGTTTCCCTCCTGCCTCCCTGAGCCCACCCCTTTCCACCTAACCGCCAATTATTTGGTAGTTTCCTTCTGTCTCCCATCACTATGAGCTTCTCTGAAACGGAATTTGGCTGTCAGGATGACAGACGGTCAGATCCCCGCTGTGAGACACGCTGCCGTACTTCTGTATGCTCCAGAACAACTCCTTGGTAGCACCTGCGCTGGGCTAGAGGCTTCCTAGCATGGCAGAAGTCCAAAAGTATCACCTGCTCTGCTTTTTGCAGTGGTGGGAAGGGATGCTATAGCAGGAATAGGTAACAGGCAGGTGGTGATCCCTCCCAGCAGTCAGTAATCACAAGGGCAACCATGGCCCATTTTTAGCAGATCCCCTAATCTCCGTTGGTTCCCGAAATTCTCCCCAAAAATGATGGACACAGAAGGACTCATGATCTCATTCATACGCTCAACTTTGCAAGCACATTCTGGTTCCCGTGGTGAAGGCACTTCTGAAGGCAGGCCATCACTGTAAGTATGGTCCAGCCCTTCCTCAGCCTGAATATGAGCCCTGGCAAAGTTTTCTTTTAAAGCAGGACATACTGAAATGTAGGTCTGCAGGCCAAATTCATTAAACGTTGTTTTATCATCCCCAAAAGAAATAATCCCTCTGTCTTTTTCTTTCCCCACCATAACCTCATCCTCTCTCTCCATAATTTGCAGGCGGTGGAGGGAAGCGGAAAGGGAGGAGTAAGAAATGGAGAGAGATTCTCAGGTTCCCACACATCAGCCAGTGCGATGAACTTCGGAAGAGCCTGGGTAAGTGGTGAGGTCCAGAGCATCTTGCGTTTTGCTTTCATGGCAGAAAGTATCCCAAGAACTATTCAAATTCACTTCCTAGAGAGGGACACCGTGGGCCTTGCTCCTGATTTTTGGAAGCAAGAGCTTTTGTGGTGGTTGTTCTTGGTACCTCCATGAGCCAGGTGGCTTGAATCACATTGTCCTACTCTTGAGTGTTGTTCGCCCTGAAGACTGCCAGTGCAGGCCCCTCAGTCCAGAATGAAAGTCTTGTAGGGGAGGTGGGTGGGAGTTGAACCCTCTTCAGGCTCCCATGCTGTAGCCTCAGCCCAGACTGGGGCCCCTGCACTGCTAATTTGTGAAAAACAGCTGTGTACTCTGGGAATGAAGTCACATGATAAAAGTCAGCTATAGTTCTGCCTGGATACCCAACTCACTTGGGTGCATTATCAGTGGTGCAGTGGAGCGAAAACAGGCAAATTGAATCTCATAATTAACCAGCGGCTGGTTACTGCTTTGATTTTGCACAGCTAACCCACTTAGCCAGTGTTGTGTGGTGGTTAGACTGTTGCACTGGGACTTGGGAGTTCCAGGTTCTAGTCCCCACTCAGCCATGAAGCTTCCTGGATGACTTTGGGCCAGTGCTAGACTCTCACCTAACCTACCTCGCAGGGTTGTTGTAAGGATAAAATGGAAAGGGGGAGAATCATGTACACTGCCTCAGGCTTCTTGGAGGACAAGGCAGGATGTAAATGGAGCAAATAACAATAAATAAATAAGCACTTGTATGCAGAACTCAAGAAATCGGCCTGCTTGCTTTTCCTTCCTCTTTCCCCCCTTCCCTAGCTGCATTTTGCCATTTCTTGTTTCATGGGGGAAAAAATGGAGCTCTTGAAAGTTTGTGCACAAATTTGTGCATAATTGGTTAGTCCTAATTAAGGTATTGCCTGACCTTGTGTTTTGGAATAGTTTCCTACAAGTCTGTTTGCATTTCCAATTGCATGCCAGAGGTTGCATTTCAGCTGGCTGCGGATCTCTTTCACATTTGTAAGTTCACTTGTGCTTTATGAGTTGAATCTGTACAATCGGATGTTGCATATAATTATGCACTGACTGGCACTGCAGTCATGTTCCATCAACTAATTATGAGGTTTTATTTCTGTCGTGTTTGTATTTTGTATCTGGGCTTCACGAAGGAGGCTGCTAACTTGAGAGCTGTTGCCCAATCTGGCCCTCTGGCCAGCCTGAAATGGTCATGCCTGGCTCCCCTTCATCACCGATTATTTGTGGGTGTTCCTGGCTTTTGTGCAGATCTACCCTTCTCTAAAAGGCTGCAAGGTCTTGCCTTAGGCTTAGCTACTGGCAACAAGGAGTTTAAGCAATGATATGCCGATTTTCTCTTGTACCCATCACTGGAAAATGGTTCTGCAAATGTCTCCAGACATGAATAAAGACACTGGGCTACGAGGCATTTCTCACCCTGGTTTAAGTGGGGCATCAGTTCCTTTGAAAATGAATGTTAGAAAAGTGAAATATAAATATGTATCTTTCCTGGGGGCATCCCTACACGAGCTGAGTTCCTGTACTTCAAAATGTACCACTGTACTACTCTGTATGGTGTAGACCAGGATGAACAAACTTGCAAGCTGACTTGCAGGATCAACTTTTCTGTTTGTTCATTTTTACTGGAATCCTGAAATCTACCAACTGCAAGCAGGCAGGCAGGCAGGCAGGCAGGCAGATGCCAAATCTTAAGGAACCAAGTGCCTCTGAGTGCTTCCTCAGCCTAAGGACAATCTTAAGTGCAGACTAAGTATGGGTTTTCATTGAATTGTGAGCTCTTATTAGGTTTAAACCCTGCACTATGGTTTAACTGTAGATTGCTAACTATGAATAGCCTGAGTTTACAACCAAACAAACCATGGGTACTCTGTGGTTAAAAACTCATAAAACAATAGTCCAGGGTTCGTATGTAGCAGTCCACTATTCAATGACAACCCATATTTCGCCCATGCTCTGGCTTGTCGTTCAGTGTGAACCAGGTTATGGATAGGCTCACTGATCCTCTCACACAGAGGCATATCTTCCCAGTTTCCCCGCAAGCATTCTTTTTTCAGCAACTTAACTTAGTTGAAGTGGGAAACCTTTCTGGTTTTCCACCAAGCTGGAGTCAGAAACCCTTGCTTGGTTTAGTATAGATCACCTTGAGATCCACTAATAGATTCAAATCTATCATTTGGCACCCCTGGTGTAGAGCAGTTCTTAGCCACCGCTTGCATATCGTAGCAAGACGGCCCACCTTGCCCAAGCCCTTGCCCCTGGTTTCATCGGAGGGGATATTAGCGGAGCTACCTCTTCTTCCCATTTCCCCATCATCTGGTCCTCCCCATCAAGACAGTGCAGTGCAGTGCAGTGCAGTGCAGTGCAGTGCAGTGCAGTGGGGCTCATTCCAGATGCTTCGCATCTCCATCCCTCCCTTTCTCAGAGGTACATGGCAAGCAGCTCAAACCATTTGCTCCATGGGCCTTTCAGTGCCTCTGGCTGTCCTCAACGGCTCATGTGTCCCAACGGCTTTTGTGAGACATGTTCCGGGTAAAGTAACAAAAGGAAAAGTCTTCTTCTGCCAAGGCAGGCATGCAGAATATTTCTGTCTGGATAGCTGGCAGAGAAGAAGTTGATCACTGTTCCAGGCCCTCTGGACCCAAACAGGCATTGCTTTAAATCAGTATCTACCAAGTACATCTTTCTGACTCACAGTTTTACTCTAGAGTAGGTGCAGGGTCCCAGTCTGGGCTGGGTCCCTGGCATGCTGGATGCGGGGAAGGGCTTTTAAGATCAGGATCTAGAGTATTATTTGTTTGCTTGTTTATTTACATCTCCATACTGCCTATAGCTAAAGCTCACAACTGGATAGAAAAACAATAAAATGCAGTGATAAAGCAACATTTAAAACATTAAAAATAACTAAAATAGCATTAAAATACAATAAAAAAGACTCAGCCAAGAAGAAGGAGAACAATGCTCCTAGATAAACCCAACAGGTCCCTGGATATTTGAAGGCCTCCACAGAGTGGACCACAGGCCTGCTATGAAGGAAACCTGACAAAGATTAGCTGTCAGATAGGCATAGTAATCTCTGCTTCGACCCTCAGTGCTTGCATGACCCGGCTCTTCTTCCAGGCTTTTGCAAAGCATCAGTGTGTCCTGCCTCTTGTCTGTTGCCCACAACTCAAACCTGCAGTTTTTCCAAGGGGTGCACGCTGAGCTTCAAGATGTGTTTACGTATGAACCAAGAAGGAGCAGAAACGGACGGCTCAGCCAAGAGCTGAGCCAGAGGTTGCTGGCCTGGAATGTGCAGTGCACAGCTGAGCACAGCATGGGACCAGCCTCTGCAGCGCCCAGGGGGAGGCAGCCTTGAGAATGTCCTGCCATGTTGGCTTTGCACATGACGTACAGGCACATTTATGGCAGAGCATCTGCATGTGCATGAGAGAGAGAGAGAGAGAGAGAGCAAGCTTTCTTTTACCTAGTAGTCAGCCTTTTCTTTGCCTTCCCTACCCCCCGGGGACTGTCCACACAGTGATCGGATATGCTGGCTTTGTTCATTTCTTAAAACTCCCGGTAACTCTCATAAGATGTATTTCGAAGTTAGCGGCATCCTGACTGAAGGCAGCCTTAGGGAGCAGATTGTAGGATTTAAATTGTCGCTCAAGAGAGAAGTTGAGGTGCTTACAAGCTTATTTGGACACCTAAAAGCATGCAGATGGCAATTAAGCCTTACAGTTTAAAACTTACATCTATAATTGCACTGCTCCGGAAGCAGTAAAAACATTCTGCAGTAAGAGACTCCCATTAATATATTTTTCTCTTTTATTAGACTCCACCTGAAATTTCTGGAAGTGAATAAGTTTTTTAATGCTTAGCCCTGAAAAAGGGTGGCCCTTTCTGGGAAGGTGACTTCTGCCCAATGCCAGACTCCCTGCCTGCCTGCTGCAATTGTATGGAAGATATGGTGCCTAAAGATAAAGTGCCTATAGATCAGCTCAGACATCACGTCAAATCTTGACATGGCTTGACTTTCAGAGCATGCACAGGCAAACCACAGTTTACAGGTGCTTTCGGTTTTCACTGGCTCAGCACTCCAGTCTCTAAATGTGAAGCCTCATGTGACTAGGATTTGTCATGCCACCAAGTTATAATTAGGGCATACCATGGTTTGCAAGCTGCCCACAAACTTTGGTTAGTCCATTTAGACATCATACAGAAGATGATATACAACTATGGTTTGGGTTGGCATTTAAACTGAGCTTGCCTGTGTGGAAAGTTGTATTTGCTGAAGGCATAGTTTGGCTATGGATTTCTCTCTACTTCCTTTTGGATTGTGATGAATGCAAAAAGCTCATGCAACATCTTACCAACATTTCTTCATCCTTGAATGTCCCTCTTTCACGTCTGTCATCCCAGTAGAAATATAGAAACAGAGCAAGTCAGAAGGGATCTCCCGGGCCATCTAGTCTGACCCCTGGATCTAGCCAGCTCCGCTCACGACATGCCCATCATGTGCATGTCTAGCCTATCCTTGAACTCCCTCACCAATGGGGCCTCAACCACCTCCTGTGGAAGCCCATTCCATACCCTGGGGGTCCTAACTGTCAGGAAGTGCTTCCTGGCATCCAAACTGAACCTTGGCTCCCTGAGCTTGGCTCCGTTGGAGCACATCCAGCCCTCCTCTGCAGGGGAGAACAGGTCTCTACCCATCTCCATGTGACATCCCCTCACATACCTGTATGTTGCCAAGAGATCCCCTCTGAGTCTCCTCTTCTCCAGGCTGAAGAGACCCACTTCCCGCAGTCTTGCCTCACACGGCTTTCCCTGCAAGGGATGTACCAGAGATGCAGGGTGCTTGTTGGTTTGTTCTCCATTTAAACAGCATCCAGAGCTGGCATGCAAAGTGGCACAGTCAAGGAAGACTCTGGCTTAAGTAAGACCCTGGCAGAGTTGAGTAAGACTCTGGTGGATGGCTTCTCTGGAGGATAACGGGAATTACTTCACTTCAGCTCCTGCTGTTACTGCCCAGTTGCATTTGAGGGTCCTCTCGCTGGAGCCCTGTGACTTCTGTCTGTGGAGAAAATAAACCCTGTCCCATCTCCTCATTTTCAGAACGAGATTACAGCAGTTTGTGTGACAAGCAACCCATTGGCCGCCTGCTTTTCCGCCAGTTCTGTGAGACCCGGGTGGAGCTGCTACGGTGCATCCATTTTCTGGACGCTGTGGTAAGGCGAACGGAGCGTCCGGATCAGGCTGGCTCGGCGTGAGCTTTGCTGGCTGCAGCAGGCAATGCGATACCCCAGGGGAAGCTTCTGTTCCAATCTCGGGAAGGTCCTGAAGAAGTGAGGTGGTGGAGAGGGAGGAACCAAGAGTGGGAGAAGAGCACACACTCCGTGTTCAGAAGGTCTCAGCTCGCAGGTTCTCTGGCAGACAAACTGCAATGCAGATCAGAACAGGGAATGCTCGACTGGATGGAAAAATTGTCTGGCTTCTTGAATAGCAGACAGACATAAACTCAGCACATGCTATCTGGACAGAGCATGGGACTGGGATTGACTGGGATTGGCCAACAGGAGAACCCACACTCGGGTTGCTGTGGAACCATGCAGTTAAAAAATTCTTTGAACCAGCTGCAAGAACAAACCATAGTGAACCATTCGCAGTTCACAGCCTAGCAACAAACTGTGGGTTCTTTCATGGATTGTTTGTGGCTAACAAGCCATGACCTGTTAGAATAGCTGGTTCAGACAGCTTCAACAAAAGCCCATGCACCACCTTTGAGGGTGGGTTATGTTGCCTGAACAGAGTCATATGGGTGACAGGTGTCTCCAAACTTTTGGGGTCACTGGTCACATTTAGAATTTTGAGTGACTGTCATGGGAGCTTTCACAAAATGGCTGTAATGAAGATACTTTATCCAATCATAAAATGGCTATCATACTGGGCCTGACTGGTCTCCAGACATTCATTTCCCAGAGGCCAAACCAGTAAGACTAAAAAACCCCCACTTCCCCAAGACCTCCAGTGCAAGGTAGAGGAAAGGGTCCAACTTGCAAAACAGAAAACAGTTCTTTTGAACTCAAGATGGTGTTACAGGGCAATGCTTCACTTTGCAGCAAGGTAGGCTCCCAGTTAAAACAAAATAAAAATAAAGCAATAAATAAACTTTCAGAGGAAAAAGGAGTCTAGTTGGCCCCAAGGGGAATCTTCATGGGCCCATGGTTAGGACAAGAAGGATTTGCCTATTTATAATGTCTGTACCTTTTCATATAATGAAATCTCCAACTGGTTCACACTAAAATGCATATATCATACGATATAAAGCAATGAACCATGGAAAACATTGCAGCAAAGTCATAAATGAAATGGAGTGGGTCATAGTCCCTTAGTCCCTTCCAAGCTAGGGGAGGCCTGCGGAAACAAATGCATACTCCAGAGGCGTTAGGCACATGCCACAATTTCTGCCTCTCGAACCACATGTGAAGGCATGTTCGGGAAGGTGGGTGCCCCTTCTTTGCCGTGGACTCTGCCCATCACACAAGTGGGCTTTGCCACGCAGTGTGGGGCCCAGACCAGAGGGAAACTTCCATGGCTGAGCATCGCAATTTGGTGATACTCTCTTTGTCACAGAAGAAAAGCATTCAGATTTCCATGGAGCAACTTGGGGCTCTCCTGCTTGTATGCAAAGGAAGGCAGTTCTCTGGAACGCTGCCAATGTTCCTCTTTTCTGCCCTCGCTTGAATCCATGTATTGCCTTTTTTTACACGGCCACTTTCTCTTTTATTCTCCCAGCTCTCTCCCTACAACTGTTTCGCTGCTGCCTTCCTGATTTGCTGACATGGGGAAGGCAAACTTTTTGTTTTTATTTTTTTAAAGCAAGAGAAAAAACAAATTCCTGAAGAGCGACCTTTCCGTTGGGAGAGGAGAGAGTGTTTCTCAGCCCATTCCATCCAGATGACGTGTAATTTAAAAGTCAGCCCTTCATCTGAAATAATATCCTAGTGTTTTCTTGTGCTTCAGCCCCCTGCCTTCCGACCCCCACCCCTCCTTTCCTTTCGAAAGTTTGCTGATTCTGGAAGCCTCTTACATCCAGCAGAACAAACCATTGCTCCGGGTCATGTCAACTTGTTTTAATCTTAAAGGAAATTCTTTTTCTTCCTTTCTTTCTTCTTGGGAGCTAGCACAAAAGTTTACTGATCTGAAATCTCCTTGCTCTTCCTCTGCACTTCTGCAATGCCAGGAAGCACTTTGAGATGCTGTTTAAGTGGGAACATGAGCCTCATAAAATGATCTATGTTTCCCATTACCAAACTGTTCATGCAATCAAACCTCTCTCTGAACTGGAGGGATCTTGTTAAACCCGCTTAAATTTGTGTCGGCCTGGATAGGGAGGAGCCCCTGGGCCTACCAGCCAGTTTTAAACAGTGTACCAAAAAAATTAGTCTTTTTCCCCTTTGGGTTTGCATAAGCTTGTTGAATGTGAGTGACAGGAATGCCAATCTGGTCAGATGGCTGCTAAATGGGAAACAAATGTTCGGAAAGTGATCCTTTCTTTGCAGGCCTGCAACGGGCGGAAACTCAGTGGGCTTAAAACTGCAGTTCTGTGAAACTCCATGCACACAGCCAGCTCTACTGAGAACTGAGGGAACTAGGAGGTGCTGCGTTTTGGGGTGCTCGCAGGCTGAGGTCTCCTAGTGCTACTGATGCAAAGGCATGGTGTGGGTTTCCCTTTCTCTTTCTAGATGGATTTTTCAGAGACAGGAAAGAGACCTGAGCAGTGGTGAGGAAACTTGGGACCGTTAGCAGGAGGTGTGTCACACTTTTAGAGGACCTCCTCCATCCCACCTCTCTTGGATGAGGCCGTTTGATGTGTGGGAGTACCCTTTGTCCAATGGCTTTGAAGGCTTGGTTTCCTCAAGGTTTGGAGGCTTGTCTTTTCTCCTGTCTCTGACTTATCAGAATCCACAGTTTCAGGAAGCCTGTTCCCCCACCCTCCTGAGGTTCTGGGGTTGTCTCAGAGAATGCCTTCGCACCAAGGTACCCGGAGGAAGGCTTTCTCTGTGATGGCGCCCTGCCTATGGAATGTGCTCCCCAGAGAGGCCTGCCTGGCACCGTCGTTATTTGTTTTTCGGCACCAGGCTAAGACCTTTTTATTTCAACAATGTTTTAACAACTTTTAATATCAGCTTATAGGTTTTAATTTGCAACCAGGGTGGATCTGGATTTTATGTGTATGATGTTTTATTTTATTTTTTGTAAGCCGTCCCGAGGCTATGTATGCGATGGGACGGCATACAACACTCTAAACAAACAAATAAATAAATAAGGTAGCCATGTTGCATCCCATCTCTCTCTCCCTATCGCTTTACTAGCACAAGGTCCCAACTTTAGTCAATAGAGTCTGGGAATGGAATAGCTCTTAGCAGAGCCTTCAAACTTTAAACGCTCCAAGTTGGACACGCTGTACCCACCCTTTGAGCACGGTCACATGCTTTGGAGCTGTCCATTGAGAGAGGATTCTGCCCACTCCATTTCCCTGGAGGGTGGGCAAGAGGGGAGCCATATAATTCTGCCCTGACTTCTTCCTGGTGCAATAGCTTTCTGTAGGGAGGGGTTTTCTTTATTTTGTACACATCAGCATTCAGGTGAACCCCCAAAGGAATAGTGGCCAGATCTGACTTCCCCTCTGCTAAGAGCTTCTGATTCAGACTGAGCCAAGGGCACCTACCTGTACATGTTTCAAAGCCATATATAGAAGAATGCACCACATATGTAACATGAGATGTAATGTAGCCCTGAAAGGGCACCTGCTCTGATAAAATGGCGGGCAACTTTTCAATCATAGTCTTTTAAATCCATTCTTCTAACTAACCAATTAGTCAATTCAGCTTTGCAGTGCTAGACAGAATAGGGCTTCTGCAAATTAAAAGACAAAACAAAACCAAAAAGAAGGCACTTTCAAGAAAACATCCATGCTACACATATGTGTTTACAGAGATTGCCAGGCAAAAAGCCTGTGGGGCAGGAGCTGTTGTGGGGTTTGGGGAGGGCCAAGACAGGACGTACTCTCGACCCCCTGATCCCTTCAGGAGCTGTGGTTGTAACTTCCAGCTTCAGTCTGATGCCTGACCCCATGTGCTTCTTTTAATCTGCGATATACTGGGATTTGGGGAAAATAAAACTGGAACAGAGCTTCAAGCAGCAGAGACCTCCCAGAGACTTCACCAATGATACGGGTTTGGTCTTTATTGTGCCATGTTGTGGCGCTGCTGTTCTGCAAGCCCCTCTCCATGATGCTCTGTCACCCCCACCTCTTTCAGTGCACTTCTCAACTTTTGCAAGGAGCCTGTGATTCCTGCCGTTATGCTATGCTTGTCTCTCTGTTCTTTAATGGGTTTGACTTCCTCCATTTCCAGTTTCTTAGCCTTATGTTGCTTCCGCCTTCCCTCCTTCCTTCCTTCCTTCCTTCCTTCCTTCCTTCCTTCCTTCCTTCCTTCCGTCCTGTGCAGCTGTACTTTCAATCTGGTGGGCTATTTTCGGCCTCGGAGTAGAAAAGCCAGATAAAAATAATAAATGCCATTTAATCTACAAGACGTTACTCTAAGCTCACCTGGCTTGCCCATCCATTCTGCTGCTGCAGACCTAATCTGTCAGCAGGATGTCTGACCTGCAGCTGTATCTGTGTGCACATGTTCCCAAACTTGCCTGCTTACCTCTTACAGATCTGTGGCCGCCCTTGCGAATAATTACCCAGCTCTGATCCCACCAACCTTGTGGTCAGGAGTTGCTGGATCGGTAACACTCCAGCTTTGGATGCTTTCATTCTTCTTTTGGCCACCCCAGACACTCCCTGTCTCACCCCTCTTCTGTTTACCTAGCTGCGGGTGGCCTCATGTTGCAACTTCATGGGGAGCCCCCTGCAGTTCGGGGTCCAGAACAGAGAGCTTCCATCCATCCCCTTGGGAGATGCTGCGCATTCTTTCCCATTCATTTCTCATGGCAGTGGCCCAGCGGCTTTTTCATTAAGGAAAACACAGATGTCACTTGAGTCTGGAAAATGGCAATGACCCCTGAGCCATTCTGGCTATGTTGAACCCACCAGTTTCCTATTTTGGATCTTCCTGTTTTTAAGAAGAGAGAGGGCTGTGGCTTCTTTTAAAAGCCTGTGCTCATGCACACACTCACACTCACACAACGCACACACACCTGCTTCATTTTCTGATTG